CACTTGGGGGTCCCGGAACAATGACACCCTGACACTTGGGGGTCCCGGAACAATGACACCCTGACACTTGGGGGTCCCGGAACAATGACACCCTGACACTTGGGGGTCCCGGAACAATGACACCCTGACACTTGGGGGTCCCGGAACAATGACACCCTGACACTTGGGGGTCCCGGAACAATGACACCCTGACACTTGGGGGTCCCGGAACAATGACACCCTGACACTTGGGGGTCCCGGAACAATGACACCCTGACACTTGGGGGTCCCGGAACAATGACACCCTGACACTTGGGGGTCCCGGAACAATGACACCCTGACACTTGGGGGTCCCGGAACAATGACACCCTGACACTTGGGGGTCCCGGAACAATGACACCCTGACACTTGGGGGTCCCGGAACAATGACACCCTGACACTTGGGGGTCCCGGAACAATGACACCCTGACACTTGGGGGTCCCGGAACAATGACACCCTGACACTTGGGGGTCCCGGAACAATGACACCCTGACACTTGGGGGTCCCGGAACAATGACACCCTGACACTTGGGGGTCCCGGAACAATGACACCCTGACACTTGGGGGTCCCGGAACAATGACACCCTGACACTTGGGGGTCCCGGAACAATGACACCCTGACACTTGGGGGTCCCGGAACAATGACACCCTGACACTTGGGGGTCCCGGAACAATGACACCCTGACACTTGGGGGTCCCGGAACAATGACACCCTGACACTTGGGGGTCCCGGAACAATGACACCCTGACACTTGGGGGTCCCGGAACAATGACACCCTGACACTTGGGGGTCCCGGAACAATGACACCCTGACACTTGGGGGTCCCGGAACAATGACACCCTGACACTTGGGGGTCCCGGAACAATGACACCCTGACACTTGGGGGTCCCGGAACAATGACACCCTGACACTTGGGGGTCCCGGAACAATGACACACTGACACTTGGGGGTCCCGGAACAATGACACACTGACCCTTGGGGGTCCCGGAACAATGATACTTAGTCATAGAGTGATACGGTGTTGGCGTCACACGTTACATTGTATATCTTTTCTGTCCTGGTAACAATGTATCTGTGGTGACACCTCCGCGGAGTCTCGGCGGCTCTCTTTACCATCTTGTCTTGAATTGCGCTGTAACTATAATGTCCTCCTGATATTGCGAAGCGCAGATATTGATATAAATCCTGAATAATAATAATATACAGTTGCTGCGCTCGCACATTCTCCGATGAACCGTTATAAGTCTTCTCACTAATATCAGATCTGAGAACTTCCTTTACTGCCGTCATATAAAGCCGATTTACCGCCGCAAGGTCAGAATGGTAACGCCGCGCAGCTCTGCGGTGACTTCACCGGGAGACTTATCATTATTGTGGAAACATTGTATTCCTGCAGATTCCTGTATCTTTTATGGGCAGCGGTGACCCCGGGGCCCGAGCTTAATAGCGGCGACATTTCATAGACTTTCCCGCTAATATAAAACACTGAGCCCTCCCTGGGAGGACCCGCTGAGAGGATCAGAGCCGCTCTGTGTGTAGAGGGATGATGAGTCTGGTCACCCAGGGTGAGATCTGCCGCAGGACCTGCAGAGCAACCCGCCATCGTGTCATCTCCTTCTCTACCCTGGGTACCAGGCGTGCGTTTGCAGCATGCATAATATCACCCGCGCAGTCAGGGGGCACCAATCACAGCACCTCTAGGTCTAGGGGTGAACACTCTAATGCCGCCCAGCACATTTTGTTTTGGAGAATATACAGGAGGGAGCAAGGAGGGACAGCTAGGGAAGAGAGCGAGGAGACAGCCAGGAGAGACAGCCAGGAGAGAGTGAGGAGAGACAGCCAGGAAAGACCGCCCGGGGAGTGAGAAGGGACAGCCAGAAGAGAGTGAGGAGAGACAGCCAGGGGAGTGAGGAGTGACAGCCAGGAGAGATAAAGAGAAGAGAGACAGCCAGGGGAGAGGGAGGAGAGACAGCCAGGAGAGGGAGGAGAGGCAGCCAGGGGAGAGAGCAAAGAAAGACAGCCATAAGAGAGAGGAGAGACCGCCAGGAGAGAGAGAAAGAGAGACAGCAAGGAGAGAGAGAGGAGGGACAGCCAAGAGAGAGTAAGGAAAAACCGCCAGAGGAGAGAGTGAGGAGAGACAGCCAGGGGAGACAGCCATGAGAGAGAGAGGAGAGACAGTCAGGGGAGACAGCCATGAGAGAGAGGAGAGACAGCCAGGAGAGAGAGAAAGAGAGACAGCCAGGGGAGAGAGAGGAGGGACAGCCAGGAGAGAGAGAGGAGAGACAGCCAGGGGAGACAGCCATGAGAGAGAGAGGAGAGACAGTCAGGGGAGACAGCCATGAGAGAGAGGAGAGACAGCCAGGAGAGAGAGAAAGAGAGACAGCCAGGGGAGAGAGAGGAGGGACAGCCAGGAGAGAGAGAGGAGAGACAGCCAGGGGAGACAGCCATGAGAGAGAGAGAGGAGAGACAGCCAGGTGAGACAGCCATGAGAGAGAGAGGAGAGACAGCCAGGAGTGAGAGAGGAGAGATAACAAGCAGCACATCTGCCTGAAGCAGAACCCCTGTGCCCTTCAAGACTTATCTGCACGCTGTGTTTCAGGCACCTCCTTGCTCCCCGAGTTCCAATTTTTGTTTATTAAAAGACTAGCAATCAATAAACATAAAATCCATATGCAGAATAAACATAAATAAATCATTATATAGATATATACACAACAGTAAATGTAGCAAAATCTGCTGTCAAACCAAATGATGACTCTAGAGCAAAACCAAACCTCCTACACAGAGATACATCACTGAGGGGGAGATAAATTCTTGCGCCCCGAGTTCCAGCTCGCTATATACTGAGCTTTGTGTGACGGGAGGACGCTAGTTTATGTCCTCCCGTGACTCTGATGAGAACTATGGGGGAAAAGCCCTGACCCCATGCTTCTCCTTTAAGTTACAATTCATGTCTACTATCATTATAAACAATGTATACAGTATATATATATATTTATAGTTTGAGAGATTGGACTGTATACATTGTGTACGTTCTGGGTGAGTATTTCATTGCAGTTTTCTGGCCGCGTGTTGTGTCGCCATCTCAGTCTTATCACAATGAGTTCCTCTTTCTGTCCTCAATATAAACATTTCTGATACTATTTGTAGCCGGTTCTCCTGACATCTGATACATGTGATGATCCAGACGTCCGCTGTGTAGTATTATTATTATACGTGTCCGCAATGTCACTTTCCAGGGAACTCCGAATAAAACCAGTTATGTCATCAGCTAAAAATCCTAAACGTGTTCAATTCTCATAAGACACTGCACCCCAGAACCACTGAGAGCGGGAGGGATTGCATGCTGGGAGCCCCTCATAATGGGCACAGCGGGTGTACAGACCCGGGAACTCAGCACAGGGGTGGGGGAGCCCCCTCATAATGGGCACAGTGGGTGTACAGACCCGGGAACTCAGCACAGGGGTGGGGGAGCCCCCTCATAATGGGCACAGTGGGTGTACAGACCCGGGAACTCAGCACAGGGGTGGGGGAGCCCCCTCATAATGGGCACAGTGGGTGTACAGACCCGGGAACTCAGCACAGGGGTGGGGGAGCCCCCTCATAATGGGCACAGTGGGTGTACAGACCCGGGAACTCAGCACAGGGGTGGGGGAGCCCCCTCATAATGGGCACAGTGGGTGTACAGACCCGGGAACTCAGCACAGGGGTGGGGGAGCCCCCTCATAATGGGCACAGTGGGTGTACAGACCCGGGAACTCAGCACAGGGGTGGGGGAGCCCCCTCATAATGGGCACAGTGGGTGTACAGACCCGGGAACTCAGCACAGGGGTGGGGGAGCCCCCTCATAATGGGCACAGTGGGTGTACAGACCCGGGAACTCAGCACAGGGGTGGGGGAGCCCCCTCATAATGGGCACAGTGGGTGTACAGACCCGGGAACTCAGCACAGGGGTGGGGGAGCCCCCTCATAATGGGCACAGTGGGTGTACAGACCCGGGAACTCAGCACAGGGGTGGGGGAGCCCCCTCATAATGGGCACAGTGGGTGTACAGACCCGGGAACTCAGCACAGGGGTGGGGGAGCCCCCTCATAATGGGCACAGTGGGTGTACAGACCCGGGAACTCAGCACAGGGGTGGGGGAGCCCCCTCATAATGGGCACAGTGGGTGTACAGACCCGGGAACTCAGCACAGGGGTGGGGGAGCCCCCTCATAATGGGCACAGTGGGTGTACAGACCCGGGAACTCAGCACAGGGGTGGGGGAGCCCCCTCATAATGGGCACAGTGGGTGTACAGACCCGGGAACTCAGCACAGGGGTGGGGGAGCCCCCTCATAATGGGCACAGTGGGTGTACAGACCCGGGAACTCAGCACAGGGGTGGGGGAGCCCCCTCATAATGGGCACAGTGGGTGTACAGACCCGGGAACTCAGCACAGGGGTGGGGGAGCCCCCTCATAATGGGCACAGTGGGTGTACAGACCCGGGAACTCAGCACAGGGGTGGGGGAGCCCCCTCATAATGGGCACAGTGGGTGTACAGACCCGGGAACTCAGCACAGGGGTGGGGGAGCCCCCTCATAATGGGCACAGTGGGTGTACAGACCCGGGAACTCAGCACAGGGGTGGGGGAGCCCCCTCATAATGGGCACAGTGGGTGTACAGACCCGGGAACTCAGCACAGGAGTGGTCTCTAGTCTCCACCAAACACTGACGTTGCACCCAGAGTGACCATCTTATAGCCGGAGCTGTCAGTATATTGTGGCGCCCTGAGCTGATTGCACACGCACAGATCAGCCTCGTGTGGTCACACATCTATGTGTTCTCCTTCCAGCTCTGACACTCACTTCCTGGCCACGCACAACGCTCCTCTGTCACAATTTTCTGACCATTTTGCTTTTTTCACTTCACTTTTTCTCTCTTTTCTCTCTCCCGCCTCCCGTCACATGCTGAAATCTTTATTCATTTTCTGTTTTTTCAGAGAGCGACTGACACGATCGGGGGAGACACAGAGAGGTAATATATTGTCCTTGTATTATATATCTATACAGGTGAAACTCGAATAATTAGAATATCGTGCAAAAGTAATTGCAGTAAGTGCTGCAAAAGGGGCCCAAACCAAGTACTGAGTACATATGCATGCTTGTACTTTTCAGAGGTCCGATATTGTTCTATGTACAATCCGTGTTTTATTGATTGCATGTAATAATCTACTTTTCTGAGGTTGTGGATTTGGGGTTCTTGGGGTTTTCATGAGCTGTAAGCCATAATCATCACAATGATGACAAATCACGGCTTGAACTATCTTGCTTTGCATGTAATGAGTCTCTCTCATATATTAGTTTCACCTTTTAAGTTGCATTAGTGAAATAAATGAACTTTGCACGATATTCTAATTATTCCAGTTTCACCTGTATTTTGTATCTGATACTAATTCATTGATTACAGCGGTGAGCTCTCCATCAGGGGCCTGTGTGGGTCTCACCAGTATTGGTGATCGGCTAATATTGTCTCATTTGTAGAGAAAAAAACGTAATTTATTGATAAACTGGAAATTTCTGATCTGAATGGAATTCATTATGGTGGGGCGGCCGGTGGTGCAGGTGGATGGTGGTGCGGGTGGATGGTGGTGCAGGTAGTGGGGGTGGATGGTGGTGCAGGTAGTGGGGGTGGATGGTTGATGGTGGTGC